TATAAATTTCTAATAATATATATTTTCTTTACTTACCAGTCGTTGACATAGCCCTCGAATCAGCATGATTTCCAATAGCAATATTATAGTCTATACCATACTTTACGAGATTTNTTCCAATAGCAACATTATAGTCTATACCATACTTTACGAGATTTAAAATATTACACTTATATTAACACTCTACTAATATATTTTCTCTTTTCATATTAGTATTTTACTAAATAATGAATTGTAATACTCACGATGAATTGTCTTAACATGACGCGAGAGTGCCCATTTATCCGAAAAAGTAGATGGACATAAATAACACTTAAATCGTATACTATCATGACTCTTTTGATGACGTACCAGTCCATGTTTGAATGCAAACACTTTTTCACACTTGTCACAAGAAAACATTTTTAAGACGTTTAACTGTCACAACACTATTAATTTTACTCGAGTAATAATCCGTCTTTTATGCGACAATATTCATTAAATGTAACAAAATCAATTATAAACTCGGCGAATCACAAAACATATATCCCCGTAAACTAACCCATTCCTTCACCACATAAACATTTATAACTTATAATTACTTATTAATTACAATTTATTAAGTAATTTCTAAAAAGTGTTCATGTAGATTACGTGTGATATTCACGGTCATAAGAGAGCCCTTCACTCTTAACCTTTCATGGGAAGGGGGCCTTATGCCGTTCATCATATCCCCCCGGCCGTTTACACCGCCCGTCCACCTAGGACAGGGTAAACCCACATCATGTGAGTGAGTGAGGGGACTATGCCTTTCACCATATCCCCCTCCCGGTTGTTTACACCGCCCGTCCACCTAGGACAGGGTAAACCCACATCATGTGGGTGGGTGAGGGGACTATGACTTTCACCATATACCAACAGCCGTTTACACCGCCCGTCCACCTAGGACAGGGTAAACCCACAAAATGTGGGTTAGGGGGGTCCCAGCTCATATAATACCCCTCTACTTTTATTTATTAAAATTATATTAAATATTCATCGATAAGAATAAGTAAACTTTTAATAATACTCCGCATTATTATATGATTAATTATCAATGCACCGATGCCACCGGGGACTAGCCACACCTAAAAAATGTAAGAAAATTATTTGTATTGCTATTGTATAAAGTACTTTTTAGAAAAGGGAGAAAATACATTTAGTACCTTCAAAAATGGTATTCAAATTATGGCTACGTATCAATTTCAAAAAAATATTTTTAATATTTTATTATTGTGAGTCAACTGTTAATAAGATTTGCTTTAAATTTTGTATTAGTTTGTTTTATTTCAGTTGATGCGTAGAAGCCATGCAAAGTTAAAACGGCTGAACAAATTAAATGTATAGTAGTTTAAACTATAATTTATTTTACGTGTATAAGAGCGATGAAATTGTTTTTGTGATTGAGTCACAGTATATAAAAGCTAAAAATAGAACACGTAATACGTTATGACGGTTAGCATATAATTGTAATATTATATTATTACTTATAATATAAACATATAATATGATGTTATCATTTGTACATGTATGTCACATATTATGATTATAGAAGATCACCAAAACAAGGTTATCTCATTTAAAATACAACATATCCAGTTAATTATGGTAAA